TCAAATAATCTCTTCCAAACAAACTCTTAGTAAACCCTAAAAAAACACAATCAGAGAATAAGTACTCTCTTCGTTTTCAGGCAATCGAAAGATAAAGCTATGTAAACCAAGGACCCAAAAGGCTGTCTGACCCGATCATCTAATAGAATGAGAGAATTATCTTAATGACGATATCTTTTTGCTTTGCATCTCATGTTCGTCGACCTTTTCACATTATTTTGACAAAAAGAGGATTTAAAATCATCCTTCTAAAAATAGAGGGACTCCCATGCAATTTTCTTGAAGTAGAAAGAGGGAGAATTTGACTCGACGTTTTCATACGTCAAATGAATTGATTATTAGTGCATGGCATGACTGTCTCTCCATCTCACATTCACAATTTCCATAAATTCGTAAATTCTCATTCTTCTTCCTTAATTTTCTCTCTTCCTGTTTCCCATCCAGATCCGATCTGATCTGTTCATCCCATTTCTCGAAAATCGAAAAACAATTTAATATATTCACACTCACATATATGATTGTATCAAATTAAACAATATAATAATTCCAATTATATATACAGGATGGCAGTGGTGTCACCTTTAGCCAAGTACAAATTGGTGTTTCTCGGCGATCAATCGGTTGGGAAAACAAGCATCATTACTCGTTTTATGTATGATAAATTCGACACCACTTATCAGGTTTGCTTCAATCTCTCTTGGATTTATGTTTTATGATCTGAATTTGCATGCATAGGAATAAATAATGTGATTTTGATTGTCGATTTCATTCTTAATTTTAAAGATGTTTAACGGGGAAGAAGGTGTCGTGCATTAGAAATCCGTTTTACTGTTGCATAAATAATTTAATTTCGAATCTGTGGTGAAAGTATAGCTGAATTAATTTTGTTGTAAACGGAGATAATTTTTGTTTATAAAATCAGATCCACGTTCTAGTTCTGATGCAATTTGTTCTTCTTTTTAATTTTATTTCCTTTAACTATTAATCTGTGTTTATTCTGCACCTTAAGAATTTGTCTTTGATGATATAGGTTTACAATTGTTCATCAATATAATTTTCTTTTGATTTCTGGATTTTCTGATTTAACCTGAAGAACTTCAATTTCATTTAGTGCACATAGGAGAATTGGAGTAAGGTTAAGCCTCAAAGAACAGCCTTGAGTTCTGAAATTGTAAGAAAAAAACAAAGGGTTAAATGATTTTGAACAATAAGTTCTAATTGATGTGAACGACAGAATTTAGAAGTTTGAACATTAAAACGTTGAAATATTTTTGATAAATGTCTGATGATATGATGATGATTCCGTCAAACTCTGTCTGAATTTTTTAATTTCATATGCAGGCTACTATTGGCATTGATTTTTTGTCAAAAACAATGTACCTTGAAGATCGAACAGTTCGCTTGCAGCTTTGGTAATACATTCTTCTTCCTACATTTGTCCAAGATAGCATGATTGTATGCATTTCTTAATTTCATGTTTTTTTCTCGCCTTTTTGGTTCTAGATTATAGAAGCATTGTTTGAAGGGTATGTTCACACAAGTTGAAGTGATAAAATTGGTTTCGTCAACTTAGCAGACAACAAACTGTCAGATTTAAGCACGAGGTGGTCCAGTAGTTCAGTTGTGGTCGGAAAAAATATGTCCACTGTGCTGTGCATTTATTCAAGTCACTGCTTTCTTTACCTTGTTTTGGTTCAGGACTTTATAACTTTATCCACTATCCAGTTTTACTGATATTGGCTCACGAATCACGTTCACATTTTTGTTTTACTTTGTACATTGCATCACTTCATATCCATTTTTTTACATGCTTTGAACAAACTTTTTTGTGGTAACAGGGATACTGCTGGTCAGGAGAGATTTAGGAGTCTTATTCCAAGCTACATTAGGGATTCTTCTGTGGCAGTGATTGTGTATGATGTTGCTAGTAAGTATACCCCAGGGAGTTTCCTTTAACAAGTTCAAGATGTTATATGTAGTCTTCTTTTTTTTCCTTGAGTTTTCCTTTGATCTTCTCTATTAACTTTAAATTTCGCCTCTTATTTTGCTTGTAATATAATGTTATTTTAGTTCTTATAGTGTAGTGAACCTTCTCAGATCGACAGTCATTTCTGAACACTTCAAAGTGGATAGAGGAAGTACATACAGAACGAGGAAGCGATGTCATTGTTGTTCTTGTAGGGAATAAAACTGATCTTGTAGACAAAAGGTGAGGGGAAAAATATGGATTGTGATTCACTTTTTTTCTGGTTTTCTTCCCATAGCTCCTGGGGTGTGTCTTTTGGGCTTTTGTTTTTATGCCTTTTAGCATCAAATGACCATTTGTATGATCTAGTCGAGAAACTTCAATACTAATAATTCGTTTTCCAGAATTGATCTCAAGTATTGTTCTGCATAAACAGGCAAGTTTCAATTGAGGAAGGAGATACTAGGGCTCGTGAATTTGGCATCATGTTTATAGAAACAAGTGCTAAAGCTGGTTTTAATATAAAGGTTAATATACCTCTTTGATCTCATCGTGTAACTGTGTTTTTTAAATTATGATTTGTCTACTTCCGTGTCCTTATGCAAGCGCTATATTTCAGCCTTTGTTCAGGAAAATAGCTGCAGCTTTGCCAGGAATGGAAACTCTTTCCTCCACGAAACAGGAAGATATGGTCGATGTGAATTTGAAACCATCTACGAATACATCCCAGACGGAGCAACAAGGAGGTGGCTGCGCGTGCTAGAGATATTGTACTCAAGAAGAATGAAGGGGACGAAAAGAGGTTGGAATTACCCAATACTCTTATATAGGTATTCTCATTGAGTATGAGCTCGCAGCAGTAAGAGGAAGAAAGATTCTATAAACCCGTGTTTTTTCATTACTGTACTTGTTCATTTTTGTTGAATTCCATGAACGAAGGATTTGTTCCTTTACTTCAATTTATTAAGTTTTCGAAAGATTTAATTTGCATGTATTTAAGACGAATGATAACGGAGGGAAAGGATTACGAGTTGTCGACTCATTCTATTTCAATCCTCAATGGGGATTCTTATCACATTTTCCTCGCAACACTACTTTGATATCAGTCGCCCCAGAGAACCAGGCTTGCTTCAAGCAACCAAGATAGGGCGTGGATCATCACAAGAAGTCCTTGCAAGGTGATCGATCTCACAAAATATATAGATACAAATATAATAACCAATTTTGTTACATGTGTAACGACTCGACTTCTGTGTCCAAGTCGCTAACTTATGTATTGTCCATTATGGGTGGACATTTGCCACTTATCACTTCATGGATTTCTGTTTCCAGGATTTGAACACATGACTTTGCTTTTAAGAGACTTAAGTTGAATTCCAGTACGAATTGATCAATTGTAACGATTAGGCTTCTATACTCAAGTCGTTAACTTACATGTTGTCCGTTTTGAGAGAGCCTGAGCCCATCTTATCCCTCACGAATTTCTGTCGCATCCCTAGATTTGAATCCAAGACATTTCCCTTAAGAGAAACTTAAGTTGAATATTGGTATCAATTAGATAATTGTAACAACATTTTTTTAACGACATGACATCTGTGTTCTAGCCATTAATTTATGTATTATCCACCATGGGATAGCGTAAGTCCATCTTACCCTTCACGAATTTCTATCACATTCCCAAGATTCGAATCCATGACATTTTCCATAAGAGAGACTTAAGTGGAATCCTAATTCCAATTAGACAATTGTAGTGATACCAGGATTCAAAACTTAAGTCATTTTTAAAGGAAATGTCAATGGATCAAATCTTGATGACGTGATGAAAATCTGTGAGGGGAAAGTGAGCAAATGTTCACCTAGAGCGAACGGTATGTAAATTAACGATTTGAGTACAGAAGTTGAGTCATTACAAAAAATGCGTATTTTTTTTTTTAATGATCTGACCTATGTGCCCAAGTCATTAACTCATATACTATCCGTTCTGGATGAGCCTGAACTCATCTAACCTCTCACAAATTTTTGTCGCGCTCCAATGACCTTTGTCATGGGGACTCGACAGAAATTCGTGAAGAGTTAAATAGGCTCGACTCTCCTATAGCGGACAGTGCGTAAGTTAACGATTTGAGCACAAAGATCGAGTCATTACAACATGTCTCTTTTCTTTAAAAGTGTCGATCTTGTTTAGTATCTTAGTTAAATAAAGCGAGTGATTTGTGTCGATACAGTTCAAATTTGTTCATTTAATAAATAGGTTGAACATCGAAAAATAATTATTAAGGGGTACTCAAATGCCCTAAATTGTACTTGTAGAGGTAAGGTTTCATGCACTCCTCTCATTTCTATTAACTTTTTCAGACGAGGCAAGGAACAATGCCAAATCGCTATCACTATTTTGGTTGTGGCCTAAAAATCTCAAGCAAAGATGGATTTGCTGAAAAAATAACTCTTCAAAAACAAATGTAAAGCAATGACAAGAATGAGACAGGAAATTTATATAGAAAGATCAATTGAAACAGCTAATGCATGTACTTCCAGATTCTCGAATTATGTACATTGATGAAAAAACTACATCAGAGAAACAAAAGCAAAAGAGGAAGAGCAATGCCAAATACTTCCTATGAAGACTCTTTCACAAAAGATTGTAACAAAAATACGCTAAAGATTACCAGATCCGTCGCCAATCTGCCTCAATCTCAGTGTCAGGTATATTAGGATCATCGTTCCAATACTAGATCTGCAAAGAAAATATAAATTAATTAGCACTTGTTCAGAATAAACTGACAAAAGAGGACTGAACAATTCAGAGAATTTCTGTATATATGTTGTACAAATATGAATATACAAGGCAAGTAAATAAACCTAATTCACAAATATAAATACAACTATATAAGGTAACATACAAATCCATCCATATATGCTAACATAAACTACATAATCCCTTTTCAAAACTCTGTTCAACTACACGCTAGTGTTTTTGTCTCTTTAATATTGTAATGATAAAGGATGATCTAAACAGTTATAAAGGATGATCTAAACAGTTATATTGTACTGGATGTTCTATTCATCTTTGTTCGATTCAATTTTACTTAAATGATCATAATTTGAAATCGTTATCCAATTTGAAAAAAGAGCAATTAAAATAATTATTTAAGCATGTGAAAGATAAAATGCTTACAAGATAGAGAACAGGAGAACTACTCTTCTTGAATTGAACGAGACGGATCGTTTATATTTCCTTGATCTGTTAGTAGGCGTATCATATATTCTGTCAATAAGATATTTATCTGCTTCACAATACAGAAAAAAAAAGTTTGTAAGCAAGTTTTATTCGCGCAATAAATATTGAACTTGCAAAATGTATGGAATTAGCTCATTTGAAGTCTTTATTCCTGATTAAGCAGAGAAATGTGAAAAAATGAGTAATGCGAAAAAGGTATTGTTCTCATAAAGGGTTCAGTACTATTGGCTAACCATGGTTTGTAAAAGTTTTGTAAATAATGACCTCCAAGGATGATAAAAGGCTGCATATGTACAAGGGAACGTGTAACTACTTGTCTCTATTTGATAGATGTCATATTTTGAACTACTTTTTCTCACTTATGGCGGAGGAAAATTGTAGTTACAGTACTAAAAAAAATCCGAATAACAAGTAAACCTCAAAAGACACCACTAGCCCAACCTCGACCTTTTAAAAATGGATTTCATATTTTTCAACTACTTGATCTAAAATGTAAGCTCTTAGAGGGACCCCATGTACATCATTTAAGTGGCATCTTCAACACCCACCCTCATGTGTGGCAAGATTTATTTTCCTATTAAAGTCTTACANATTTAAGTGGCATCTTCAACACACCCCCTCATGTGTGGCAAGATTTATTTTCCTATTAAAGTCTTACAAGAAAACAATCTTTTATTTAAATGGGTGGCGATGAGACTTAGGAACTTTACAAGTCTGATACCGTGTTGAACCACTTATAATCAATCAAGAAGAATTACAAACACTTAATTTATAAATATATGAATTGTGGATAAGTAGATAGTACTTGTAAGCCCATTAAAATGTCTGGTTGAAAAGAAGTTTGACCGTTTATAAATTTTGCCAAACGGAGGCTTAATCTAAATTCTTAAGCTTATAGAGAGGGCCCCACATATATTACTTAAATTATGTCTTTGACACACACCTTTGCTTTATGCCAAACTTGGGGTGTAGAATATGGAAAATGTAATTAGTAGCAGGAAGAAGAAGTTTCACATGTTAATGTAATCGGCCATCACTGGTCGATTTTGTGTGTGCCAAGAGATATATATCGACAAGTGAAATTTGGATTATGATTTGTTTAATCTGTACCGAAGTTATGATCTTCGTTCGATTTCTTTTAACTAGCTATAAAACAGGTTAGTTACATTTGAATATTAGTTAAGAAGAGAGCAACATACAAAATAACTGTAAAATAAGCATGCCAATAAAAATATAGGAATGGATAAAAAGATTCACACACAATTCAATAGTTCCCTAAAAACACAAAGGTAATGGTTGTGAAGCATGATAATTACCTCTTGAAGCGAACTTGGGCATATCGGGGCTATGGTTCATTAAGAGCTGCATGAATTTTCCTCCTATTTGTATGTGAATCTCTCTCTGCAATGCCCTCTGCACAGCAATTAATAATTCTTTTCAATTGCATCATCGACCAAAGATTGCATGGCAGGGATGCTGAATATGACTCAAATTTTCCCAGTAGTATTTTATATGGACTCTAGAGAAATAAAAGTCTGATTATTTTCTTGGGCAGAGAACTTACTACCAAGGAATCATCAGCCTTCAAAACTCCAACAGATTCATCATAGATTTTTGGGTTGTGTGGCTTTCCTTTCTCAATATCAACATCCAAAATGCAGGGGACGTTATTGTTTGCTTCATCCATCATTAAGTTGGTGTCATCCTGCAATTTTGATTCAGCATTGAATTGAGTCCCACTTTTGATTGTATTAAACTTTTCCACGTGGCTGACAATATTCATTTGTGGGTCGGACTGGGTGTTGGCAGTTCCTCCATCAGGTAACCCCACAATGTGATGTTTTTGGCACTGAAGAAGAATGAAATACAGAATTATTGCAATTTGTTGGTTTTGTTATTACAAATACAGAATTTGGCTATAAATAAAAGTACAAAAAAGTAGAAGGCAGAAGGGAAACAAAGGGTAAACTAAAATCATGCGGATTAATAGCATAATTGGTAAAGCTTATAATTGCTTATAAGCTGATCAAACTCTATTTTTATCCATATATTCATAGGACCCACAATTTTTACCTACTTTTATCCACTTATTATCCACACATTAGGATCCACAGCTTATAATCTATAAAAGCTTTGCCAAACATGCTCTCAATATGTTAAATCTCAAGCATAAATCACAAGAGGAAAAAAAAGCCTTGATAAGATCCAATAAGGGGGGAACAGATGAAATTAAGCCCCTGTTTATTGTGCATTATTTGCTTGACAAAATGAGAATTGTGACCGTTGAGATCCCACTTCAGCCACTTTTTTAGAATTTTCATCTCTATGGTGGGGCCCAGGTTGGCCCACTAACTGTCAAAAAAATTCTAAGAGTGAAGGGAAAAATGGCAAACAAACAGGAGCTAATAGAAACATTGACATCAAGCTAAGTAACTAGAAATCAAGTTTATGTTTGACTCCAAAATGAAGCAGTAGATGAAGTAAACCATACAGGCAAAGTCATTTGGACACAAAAATATACTCAC